CAGTTCGACCAGAGCCTCGACAGGAGCACCAGTCTTGTCAGCCGGAAACTCCCCCAGGGCCTTCAGGAATCCATCCGGATCCATCCGGCTCCGGGGGTGGGCCATACAATCGGGTCCGCACTCTTATAGAGGGAGAGGCCGCTCTCGAGCACAAACCTCACCAGGAGGTGATCTGACCATGACAGGGGAGTCAAACATAAGTTCTTCACCCTCAGGTCATCCTCTACCTGCCCCCTCGTGAATACCAGGTCCAGAGTGTGTCCACGTTCATGGGTCGGGCCAATGGTTTTCTCCAGGATACATACTTGTTAGGAACCTGAGCAGGCCAATTTCCTATGTTCCCACCCTCACCATGGACAAACCAATGTCGCCTCGCTCAATGGTTCTTAATCATTGTTGCACTTTAGTCCCTTTCCCCCTTTCATGGGGCAGAGGTGAGAGCTGCCCATATGAAACAGTGGAGAAATCCATGATCTTTACATATCTGGAATGCAGCAGCAGGTGTCCTACAGCCTCCTCTCCAAACAACATCAATAGTTTCCTGTCTATGAAATTCAATGGAATATCAGAATTTCAAGTTGTCCTTGAGGCAACTGGAGGAGTTAGTGCAGTATTTTCATAGCTCTGCTCCTGCAATATTCCAAAGTCATGGAAATTCACTGGTGTTTGGCAAGCACTCTTTTCTTTTCTTTTTTTCTTTTCTTATTACATATTTACATACTTTTGAGTATCCAAGGCAATGATGAAAAATACCTGGCTGACTGAAGGCCGGAGCTGGCCCATGAAATCTCTTGGGGGAATGGGGTTTGGCCACAAGAAGCCTCACAAAGCCAAGGATGCAAACTGGTGCTGTGAAGAGTAGTCACTCTTCTCAGAATCAACTCAAAGGCTTCAGGCACCATTTGCCATTACTGGGGGGATGCTGCATGCTGCCCAGGGCCACGTGCTTCCATTTTGTCTTAGGAGGGTGGAAAAATACTTAATATTTTCTAACTAGGAATCCTAAAGAAAAGCGATGCCTAAATTATCCAGTGAGAAAAAGGTTCAAATAATATGATTTACTGGCAAATATTACTGAACTTATGCATGGCCAGTGTTTCCATAATTGTAGCCTTTTACAACATGAACACGAATAATAAGTATAAATACTAGCCATTTGGTTAGTGCTATTGTTATGGCATGGCCTAATTCAGGACTTACCCCAAAATATATTTACCACTAAAAACTACCTACTATAATACTACCTATAAATCAGTGTGTGTGTGTGTAGTATAAAATAAAATAAAAATTACCATGGAAAAAAGTTCCATCTCATTGGCAGAATGCCTAAGGTCTTCCACATCATATCTGATACCAAAGTGAATAAGCAAAAGTTTGAGCTGAGGCTTCAGTTCTTCAATATTTACAGTGTGTTGAGGAAGGGCAGAGGGGGTATCCCTTGATAAGTATCCTATAAGAGAAGCAGGTAAGAATATCAGCAGAACAGCATAAGGAACATTCCATTGAGCAGGCAACCTTTCAGACCTATGGAAACATTTTGCACCACCTGGGCACCACCACAAAATGGCTGCCATGGGAAGCATAACAAAAACTAAATCATATTTACCTATATATTTTATCCAGAAGGTACAAGTCAGATGTGAGGACTGAACCCCAGTATGCTAAACAGCACATTAAATAACATCATCAACAGGAACCTATCTGAATTAATTCTAGCTGCCAATAAGAAAATGTGTGCTTTTTTTTAAAAGTAGGAATGATACCAAGAGAGATTACTGCGATGTCCACAGTCACCATGTTGCCTACCTCTTGGAAGGCAGCAGTTTCTGAAACTTGTTTAAAATGCTGCAGATGATTTGGATATTTGGCCCCTATTTGGCAGTTTGAAATGGCTTCCCATCTGCACATCATTAGCAAAATATTCTCTTCTTCAGAATCAACAAGGCTTAAAGAAGTCAGGTGGAGGTACAGCCAGAAGGGAAGAGCTTTTCTTTCACATTCCGTTCTTTTGCCTGGTAAGTCCAGGATCAAGTTGAAAGAGAAGGGGCAATTTAAGGCAGGGAGTGTTTAAACTTTTCTTCTGCACAGTTTTCCAGCTCTAAATCCATCTCTTCTTTCCCCTTATCTCTAGGAGCTGCTACATGCTTGCAGGTAAAGGCAGAAATCTTGGTGAAGTTGGGGAAATACTGTGGTACCTTGGCTCACAAACTTTATCTGTTCCAGGACTCTGGTAGTGACCCAAATTGGATGTGAGCCAAGTTAAATTTCCCCATAAGGTTCAATGTAAATAAGGTTAATCCGTTCTGTAACTATTTTTTTAATCAGAAAATTATGAAGCAAAGTGACAAAGAACAACAAAGATTGCAGCCATATCCCCACCACCCCGAGCACAGCCATCTCCCCGCCCTCCAGCACAACCGCTGCACACTCCTGTCATCCCGGAGCGC